AAAAAAAAGTAAAATATTATTGAAAAATTTAAATTGTATCTTCCTGCTTTAAAAAATAATCAAAGAAATAAGTGAAATAAAATTTAAAAAAAAGCGTAATACAACCAGCCTATAAGTGCCCCCTTACCCTTCTCGTTACCTCAATGATCTAATCTGAATTATTACAGATAAAAAGAATATTCATTGAAACAGCGAGAAGCATTCATGTTGCCCAGAAAGCGAGAGGGGAAATATCCCTACAGATTTTCCCTATGGAGGTACCTTTTTTACCGGGACCTTTTTTTCCGGGACCTTTTTTTCCAGGGACCCTTTTTTCCGTACCTTTTTTTCCAGGTACCTTTTTTTCCGGGACCTTTTTTTCCGTACCTTTATTTCCGGGACCTTTTTTTCCGTCTACCGATACACCATAAGAGTTTTTATTGGGCGAATTGACATATTTCGTCCATCGGTCTGAACACTCGTTGCACGCGGTCGCCCACATCTCAGATTCTAGGCGAATTCATCTTTCCTTTTTTTCTTCCAACACTTGATAAATATACTTTGATCAATTTAAAATGCTATAAATTTCAGAAATGCTCTTTTTTTTTCGGATTTCAGCTTATAATTCTCCCAAACTTTGGTTTTTGTGAATTCGGCAGCTTTCTTCAGCATTGTTAGTGTTGGAGCCTTTAATTTGAAATAATCTGCCCGTCTTCACGCTTTGCAGAAAATTAAGACACTTCATCCATTCTATCCCGCATTTAACATCCATTTTATACGACACTTTTAAAAATCCCAAAAAATAATAAAATCAATTTTAATTAATGAACATTTTTTGATAACATTTACAGTCATAATTTAAGAATTTTTCCGGTTATTACGTCACATATTTTTTCAACTGTATAGTTCAGCAGAATTTTGCTGCGTGTTTAAGTTTTGAAGACAAACTGTACTAATGACATTCAATATTCTATTTCATGTATAAATAATTCAATATTCTTAAATGCAATCACTGTCTGTGACCGCACTGTAAAAATTCTGGATTAAATTATAGTCAAAAGTACCGGCATTTAGGATGCTGATATTTTTTACCGTAAAATCCATTTTCACCGGAAAGTACTACGGAACAAAAAATCTGGTATGCCGTAATTTTCACAGTAATAATTACCACAAAACACCTGCATCACTAATTGAATATATATTACTGTAAAAATTATAGAATAATATTTTAGGTTGAAAATGTATTTTATTGTAAAAAAAATTATGGATAATGCATCTAAAATGACGGTACTTAATAGCGTAATTTGATCGGGAATTTTTTACAGTGTGCTCACAGACTGAAGATTAAAACAAATAAAATGAACTTTATATATTTAATTTTTATAAGGTCTTTGTAATATATCCGTAAAGGTGAATATTTTATCGAATTTTATTTGGGTTTATTCTTAAAATTCAAGTTTTTATCTTGATAATAGAATATATAAAGAAAAATACAATTACTATTTTCTTTTTTTAGAAGAAGAGTTATGAATGTAAAATTCAATAATGCTCACTTTTAAGCTTTTATAACGTAAAAAACAAGTTTTTCTTTAATTATTGGTAATATAATTAAGCTGCTCAAGCATCTACTTATCATTTGTTTTTCCTTCTAATATTTAATAACATCTGATAGTATCATTTACATGGATTGTTTCCAGAAACATCAAGTACTTATCTGCAGTCTCCTTCGAAATCTTGCTCATCTAATTGAATTAAACAACTATCTTTTTTGTTTATAAGTGCTCATATGTTTATGTTAACTAACTGCTAGGCCACCATTTAAAAGAAAGTCGACAATTGTTGCGAGACTTGGCTAAAACAGTCTGGAGACACTACGACAAATGTCTCTTATTTACGTTAATTTGTATTAATGGTCTAAACTTGGCCCACTCGCATCATTATGCTGATGTAAAATGCTCTAACTTCTGGCGATATTAGACTTTGAATAATGAATAAATGACTTCTTTGCATCCATTTCACAGACATTGTTAAATGTCAACAATTAGATTATTTTCATGGGTAGAGAAAGTTTTCCAATTAAGGAATTAAACTACATAAATAAAGCATTCTATAAATGAAACGGAAGATTTTTTATGAGCAAAAGGAAAACCTTGTTTCGAAATTTTTTGATTGAAATAAATAGAAAATAAAAGTAAAAGTATAAATTAATTAAAAATTGGAGGTAATTTAAACGTAAATTTTCAAAATAAATGTGCCTTGCTTTGTCAAACAGATTCAACGTCGTTCCTACTTTTTTAATTTTTTATGCCGTAAGTTTTTTTATCGAAAAAATTATTGATAGTTTAGTTGTATTGTAACTTGATTCTTAAGATTCAAAAAGGAAAAAAAAAGTAAGTACCATTATGTAAATTTAATCCTACATAAACGTTGTTGTTCCGGCAAAGTTTATTTTCGCATTAACGAGGGTATAGTAAGTAATGTGCAGATTATCTAGGTAATGTGCAGATTATCAGGGTAATGTGCAGATTATCAGGGTAATGTGCAGATTATCTAGGTTATGTACATTATCTAGGTAATTTGCAGATTATTCAGGTAATGTGCTGATTATTTAGGTAATGTGCTGATTATCTAGGTAATGTGCAAGATTATCTAGGTAATGTGCAAGATTATCTAGGTTATGGGCAGATTATCTAGGCAACGCTCACATTATTTAGATAATTTGCTTTGAGAAAGGAAACAATTTAACCCTAGATAACCCTAGATAATTTACACATAATCTAGATTATTTGTAGAATAACTGATTTCTATACTTTCGTAATAACTTACAATTAATACATAACAGAATCTATAAACATCGAGAAGTCTTGTGCAGGCTAAAACAAAAATTCGATAATCTGAATTTCGAAAGTGAAAATTTCATGGTGGTCTAAACTGCGCGACAGGTATTTCCCCTCCTTTTTTTTCAGAATGGTTCTTGTTAGAACACATCAACCACTCTCGACCCCTGGGGTAATTGTGAAACATTCTCACGTTCAGTACAGCGTATCACAGCAGGGTGTCAATTGAAATAACTACTAATCCACTTTTTCGTAGAATATATCAATCAGAATTTGAAAATACTTCTTTAGAGAGGAATAAAAACTGAACATCTTCTGGAACATTCAAAGCTACTAAACTAAAAGATAAAGAAGACCTATCTGGTATAGGTCTTCTTTAGCCTGTCAATGAGCTAGCTCTAGATACGCATATCTCGTATCAAGAGCTAGCTCACTCACAGG